AAGTTTCTCTGTTCTTTAAAAAGCTGCACAGTTGATTTTGAAGAAAAACACCCTATGCTTGGCGTAACCTTTCCTATTTAACAAATACATTGTTACATCCTCCTCCTAATGTGCACTGTGCTGGCCTACTGAATAAAGTATCATGCCTCCATACTTTTGATTGCCTGGCACATTTGGAGTTGGAGAGGAAATGTGATTGTTCAGGTTCTGTGTCTATGTTGGTGGATGTTCTTGGAGTTCAGCATGGAAAGGAAGGAGGCAGACTTGGTCCTGAATCCTCCGCCTAACCCAGAATAGAGCAACAATAATTGCTCTCTGCTTACATTATTATATAATTGCTTCTCTTTTGCTTTATACAGAAAAAGATTGTATAACTTCTACAAATTGATTGTTTGCTGTCTGCATGTATGTGTGGACTTAATAAAAATGAAGCTAAAATTTGTAATTTTTTTTCTCATTTCAAAGCTAAGAAATAATAAACATTACCAATTCTAATGAGAGTTTATTTCTGTGTTATTATGTAGCCAGGTTAAAATGGGATTTTAATTTTATTTCATTAAATATCTTAACATCTTCCATCTCCATGTGATTAAAAGTTTTACCTTAGGGTATCTATTGAATATAAGATGCAGGGAAATACAAAAACATTTTTTGGTCTTGGAAAGAAAGAATAAAACAATGTCTAGGAACTGTAATGTTTAAGATTTCAATCTTCTCTCTACCTTTGTAAGTATGGAGCGACCATTGATTGACACGTTCATTTCAGAACCAGATTACACAATGGTCTGAGAATAAGATGTCTGCTGGTGCCCTCATGTGGACGTCTGTGCTTTTAGATATGGAAGAAAAAAAACTTTTAAGACAATGCAGAGGAATAGAAATTTTAGCTGCTTTGTTTTGCACACAGAATTTGGATGCCCATTAGGATAGCTTTCACCATTTTTCTGAATTGCAGGCAATCCCATATTGTATAATTGTAAGCAAAATTTCCTACCTGCATGTCAGGTTATGGTGTAGTTCATAAGCTAAATTTGAAATAAAAAATTTAACTCATTCTTAACTACATAGTTACAATATCCCTCTCATAAACTACTGCTTCATATTAAAATGTCAAAGTTATCAAGTGGCTGGCTTTCAGAACTAATCACGCAGCATTTTTCCAGGTCTAGGAAAAATTTCAACTAAATATTATGTTTTCTGAAAAAAATACTTTTCTGATCAACACAGAAAGCATTCCAGATGTCAACAAACACATGTAAGACTTGAATATGTATAGTGTATATAGACTGGTGGAAATAATTTCTATTTAATCAGCCTCCATAGATGTTACCAGTAAGGATCTAGGCATGTTTTTCTGGTAATATGCAAAACAGATGAATGAAAACAAAAAACTTCAATAAGAATACTGATCCAGTTTTCTGTACAGTTTGCATGATGATCAACATTTACAGACCATCAGAAAGGCTCCTATGTAGGCAGCAATGAGGCAGACGAGGGAACATGGCACATTCCACATTGAAGACAACTTGCTAGAGTAAGGGCAGATCCACACCTGGTGTCTCTAGTCACCTGTGATAGGTATTGTCCATGAAGAACATCTGCTGCCAGTGTATCTTTAGAGAGTTTATAAAATTGTTTGCACTTTTGACTCTACTACATAAAAACTCTCAACCTGAAGTGTAAAATTAATCAAGACATCAGCATAACACTCTATAGCATCAGATGTATAACCTTTACACAGAAAGTGTAAAGAAAAGCTTAAACGAAAAACAACTGGAATACTTTAACTGATATTGAAAGAACTAATCATGTGATGCAATCGGAATCTAAAACTAAGACTGGCATTTGCAGAATGCCCTATCATGATTGCACTGTGGGCACTTCCAGAGGTAAGAAAAGAAACCGATGTTAAAACTGGATAAAGTTCAACAAAATTTCAGTTTTCTAGCAAAGAATTTATAGTGATTATAAATACTTCTTAGATAGAGTAGCTGCAATCTGTGATTTGATATGACAACCGTCTATCTGAAAACTCATGTTATTGTTGTGTAGAGATGTTGATTTTGTTTTCACGAGTCAGCAATGGATTGAGGCAACGCTAGTGGAATTCCATTGGCTTCAGCAAATCTGTATTGTGAAATGCACCTTACCTTGTTCCGTGTTTCAGATTCTTACACATTTTGGTAATTGGAAGGCCAACAATTTAATCTTGGAATATAAACTAACACTGTATAAATAACCTGCAGTTGTCCCCATCTTCAACATCTCTCTGTGCTGGCTGATATGCAAAAGGACAGAAGAGCATACAAGCCTTTTCCATTAGTTTGTTATTTGAACCTCTGTAGTAAGCACTGAATTTTTTACATTACTTTTTTTTTTTTTTTTTTTTTTTTTTTTTTTTTAAACAGTGACAAACAACAGAGTTTTAAATATGTAGATTCCCCAGATCAGAGATTGCAGAGGTGCAGTTCTGTACCAGGCACTTTGGAAAACGAGGTTCTTAGGTACAAAAATTTTGTTTTGCATTGGGATTAAAGACTGTGGAAACAGTTTTTACCTTGGCACCATTACTAAGTACCCTAATGCTCTCTCCCATCATTGTTTAGAACAGTTGTTATACCACTTAACAGACACCCAAAACTCCACAGCTAGCTTGATTTGAATGATGCTGTGTGCATGCTGGTTTAATATAACCTTGAGCTACCCTTTGGGCAAATGAGAGTTTGAAAATTAAAAAGCTTTAGAAATACTTTATCCATCAACAGAAAATATTTTATACAAACCCAAAAGATTGTGGATTTTTAAAATCTCATTTAAGAAGCTACATATTTTACTTACTGCTGTTGCTCAATGAAAATAAAAAAGAATTTCTTATAGAAAAAAAAATTGCTTTAAATGAGACAGTTGAACAGAAAGACTTGTGTGCCTATGAACTATGAAGCAGTTCCAGACTGCTTATACTCTGCCTTAAAGCTGTGTATTTTTCTCAGTACTTATGCAACGCATTTATATTGGAAGGCCCTCTTAAAACTGGGTGATCTATTGGTTTAGGGAGCTAAAGATTAATTCCAGATGTAGTCATGCTACTCTAGCCTTTCAGAAAGTAACTACTGCACCATCTGTTTTGTAATAGACAATTTCAAAGAGTGCCAAGGGGGATGTTAAAGACATTGGTCAAATGGCCACATATACCTCACACACAGGAATTCTGGAGGTCACAGTGCCTCAGAAAGATTCATATTTTCACTTCCCCACCCCTCCCTATTCTTCCAACATGTAAACTGAAGGAACAGCTCTCTTTCCTCCAAAAATAGGAAGGAAATGTTTTCCAGATTATTAGCAGTGTTGACACATTTGAATCCAAATTCAGACCTAAATTCAGTGAAATGACTGGAATTCTTGGTGACATATCTGTTATACCTGCCACACTTTGGGATCCTTGTAAGTTATGATGAACAGCTTTGTTTTGTTTTAAATGAACTCGGTAGCAGGAGGTTAATGATAAACTGACTAAATCTGGCTGGGGACCCAAGATAAATGAAGGGTACAACAAGTAATGAAGGGTTATTCCAGATCATGATAATTCTCCCTGGTTATTTCAGGAAGCGTGAAGTAAAGCAATTGTGTGCATTTTTTTAAACTACAGTGTTACGCATCAATACCTAAATGTCTGGTGTATACCACAGATGCACTCAGGTGTAGCTAAATTCATCACAACTGAAAAGTAGGAATAAGAGAAGTTCTCTCAACACTTCCTAAGTATAGATTTGAACTTAACAGCAGTAATTCATGATCTATACAAATAATCCTACAAAAAGGTCTAAAATGAAAACAAAATGAAACAGAAGATACAACCATAAGTTAGACAGTCACAGTCTTGTGCAGTTCCAAAGAGTCACTTGTGTTGCAGTGACACTAAGTAAATCACTGGCAAAAATAAATTAATAAAATTAACAATATGTGAACAGTTCATTCCTATTTAGTTTTCCCAACATATCCAGGTAAGTTCTGTAACAAATTCTGTAATCAATTATTACAAAAATAGCTTAGGACTAGCAGACTGGTGTTCCTAGTTAGGTTTCATTCGTTCTGCTTTGTTTCTCCCAATTCAAGAGCACTATGCAAAATTAGTACCTTAAACTGTAACCCTTGTGCCTGGGTAAAGTTCAAAGTAAGGCAGGTAAGATAGGAACATCAGTTCCTTAGCGTTTGCCCCTCCTGGATTTTGTTTGAATTTGTATGTCAGTTTCTATTGCAGTGGTATAAGGGAATTCTATGCAGGAAGATCTGCACTTTTTCAGTATTAAATGATACTAAACAAAGAACAGTTGGAAAACAGAATGAGAAATGTCTGCTTTGGAGGTCTTTATCACAGTCTTTAAAATATCACCTTAAAGTATCACCTAAGATGCTAATATACATATGGATGTGGGAGGATGCGCACACATCTGTTCACAAAAGCAAAGACCACACCTTAGGACGAGATTTAATTGAAAATATTAGACTCAATAAATGACACTTAGAACTATCCATTACATTCTGCAGCTACTCAGGAAGAAAATGGCACCTGAAAAAGGATCCAAAATAGACTGTATGTTAGGGGAAAACGAGACAGAGATTAAAGGAATCATTAAGAAAAGACAGTTTTGAAATCTCAGCATTTACAGAGCTAACGTTTTTAATCCTGGTCTTTAGAAACATCTCTAATGTCATTTTACAGAAATACCCCTACTCACTATTAAAAAACAAAAAAACAAAAAAAAAAAACAAGCAAAAAAGTAGCAATTTCAATAAAAGTCACTTTTCCAATCCAATGAACTTCCTGAGTCTGGTCTTCTTGGAAGAAAATAACTCCAGATCTAAGAGGTATTTATGGACAGTTTTTGTTGGATGATGATAATACACCTCAGTTTTTCTTAAAAACTGGTAACTTCTTTTGTTGGTCCTAAAACACAGTAAACAATTTCAAGAGTCACATATGCTGTTATACTTCTTTGCAGCGTAGGCCAAATTTTGCGTTTGAGTCACACAACACAGAACTAAGGACTGAGCCATCCTTTCAAGCAAGCTCAAGAAGTGGCTTCGGCAAGTCATTAGCTGGAACCCAAGGAAAATCAGGAAACTTGAAATCTGTAACTAACTGCTCTGTCCTTATTCATAGTGGACCTCACTCCAAATCCAACTCCAACTCTAAGAATAAATCTTTCAGAGCTTACTGTTTTGTGAACTGAGACGATAATTTGCTCCAGCTGAGCCCATCTACTCATCTGCTTGACTATGAGGACATGACATCCATGATACATCTTTCGCACCGGAAAAAATGTGCCAGCCACTTGCTAGCCATTGGGTAGGTCATCCACACTTTGTCAAAATTATCTATTTTGTTTAAGTTGTAAAGATCTGACACTATGCAGCCCAGATAAAAGAGCAAGCCTTTTATTTACTTGACTTGAGTTCAATTTGTGACAGTAGTTAATCATTCACAAGCAAAAGAATAGAGTTTTAAAAAATAACACATTTGTTCCTCACCGCAGAAAATTAAGACATGGTGTACTGTTTAAGAAGTACAAAATGCATACTCCATGGGCTCAATTGTGTTTCTACAGCACGTCTTTTGTAAAACTTTGTTATCACTGTAACTTTCATTGCACAGTAGGAGACTGTGCTACTGCCCTCTCTTTATAAGTTGGTGCCAAAAATTGTACACAGGAAGGCCTGTTTCCATTCTCAGTGATCTTGTGGAATGACAGGATACTAGTTCTTATTTTGAAGAATTCTTTTTTTTTTTTTTTTCTTTTGCATCTAGTCAGGATGCCACCACCTGCCCATATCACAGTTTTGGCACGCTGCAAGCTTCATGTCTCCACGAGTAATTACAGATTTCCCTGTTCGGTGTGACGGGAGGAGCTGTTTGCTGGCCAGGGGGTTACAAGCGTGGTCTGATGAACAGTACAGAAATAATGCTGGCCACAGGGCTCGGGGGCACAGCTATGCTGGTAGCTTGCCAAGGTCTCCCTAGCATGTGTCCTGCTGTGCTGCCTTCACCACCAGCTTACGTTCCTCCCAGGAGAGCAGCAACTGAAGGCCTGCAGCTGTCCATGGGGAGACAGGTGATACCGTGCCACTGCAACCTTTGTACTCCAGAAAGGTTTTCAACAATGTTTTAACAGACTCTGGGCTTCGTAATATTAGGTATATCTATGATAAATATAAATGTATGAGAAGTTCCGTGCACTGAACACATAACATCTGCAACTACTTGCAAAGGCTGCACCCATCTCAAAATCTGCCTTTTAAGGTCCTGTTCCGAGAATTTACAGGCCATTCCAAACCGGACTCCCCGAAACGCGGCCCTGCCCTGCCTAAAACCCGGGGCCGGGGCCGGGGCCGCAGCTGCAGGCCGTAAGCGGTGGGCCGGGCCTAGGCGCGGGGGCCGCCGGGAGGCCGAGGGCGTCGGGCTGCGGACGGCGGCTCCATGAGCTGCCAGGTGAGTGCCGCCGGGCGGGCGCGAGTGGGCACCGGGCACCCCCCTGGTCTTCAGCGGGGGCATTCTCGGTTCTCGCGGCAGAAGCGTCGGGCGGAGCCGCCCGCAGTAAGCGCGGATCCGCGGTCGCCTACAGAAACGTCCCCCTGTCGTCCCCAGGTGACGGTGCTGTACTTTGCCAAGAGCGCGGAGCTGGTGGGGCTGCGCTCCGAGAGCGTCTCTGTGCCGCAGCGGATCACATCCCTTCAGCTCTGGGAAGAGATCGTTAAGATTCATCCCAGGTATCGGGGAAAGCGCCGCGTACAGGCGGTGCATAAAGCCTGACGTTCGTGGGGTGGAGGATTTGTTTTTGTTTTGTTTTAAGAAATACAAGTTCATCGTACAGGCTCGAGCTAGAGGCTGCAGCAGCGCTTTGGCATCAGAACAGCAGTGAACTTCTCTTTGTGTTGTAATAACCTCAAGTGAGCGTTTTGGCTCTGAGCCAGTTGCAAATACTGCGGCTTTACATCTACATTAAAAAGGCTAAATCCGATAAACGCACCCCACAGCTGGGTGTTGGAGAGGTCTGAGGTCCTGTTGTCTAGGATGGCCTCCACGAAGTCACTGCATAAAGACAGAAAGCACTACCTGTGGAAAGGCCAGGTGTCTCAGGAGAGGATGCAGCCCAGCTGCAGTGATAAAGTAAGAAGGTCTGATCGTAGGCAAGTGTTTTTTGATCACTTACATCTAGCTGTATTCTCATTTTATGGCAGTCTCTGGAAGGCTAGTGAAGAAGGGAACTAAGGCCCTGGCCCAAGCTTCCTGCCAAACAACCCTTACACAAGAAATAGGCTCAGCTGTTTTCAGCCTCTTCTGACTGGGGGAAAAAAAGGCACTCTTGATTGCATTTCACAGGGAGTCTTGTTTTTTGGGGGCGACAGCAAGAATGCCTTCATTGGTCAAGGCTGAAGAGTGTGTTGGAGCCTACTGATGATAAATCAGATGCAGAAAGGTGTAGCGTCATTTAGTCAAAAAGAATAGAAGTATAGCACATAACGGAAGTTATGGGCTTACTGCTGAATGCACCAGGATTTCCACCATTTTAGCTCTAGTTTTCTAGTTTCTTCCAGTTTTCCTTTGTGCTCAACACTTCTGTGCTCAAGCTAAAATGTTATGAGAAAAAGAATAAAAATTTAGCAATGCTAAGTGTTTCTAAAGGAGTTTTAGAAGAGGAAGGGATGGGTAGAATAAGATGGGTAAGTAGAGTTTTAGAGTAAGGAATGGATGTATTTTACTTTGCAACGTATTATTCTATTTGGTATCAGAAGCACTAGCACCTTTGACGGTTCATCGTAGTTTGTCAAATTCACCCTGTTTTGAAAGGTGACTTGCTGTCCTACATTTTGCATGTGCACATGCCTTTCACAGTGGCCTTCTTGGAAAATGCTTCTGTTCCTGGATTTTCTGGAAAAACTCAACATAATTGTAGGGCACTGACCACAGACTTCTATTCACGTTGCTAATGGATATTCAAACTGCAGCTTGAGCATACTTGACAATGCTCTTCTGTTCCACCCATTTTCCCCAATGAATTAACTTGCAAGTGACATTAATTAGAAACCATCCTTTTAATGGGCACTTCAGTTCCGTAGTTGTAGTCTGTGCTTTAGTGGCTTGCTTTACTTTTGTACATTCCCTCCCTTCAGTCTGTCCTCCAAGACAGCGCTACTGATTTTCGCTCAGACAGTGCCTTGCCTAGCTGGCTTTAGTCAAGCTGGCTGGTAGGAAATAAGTTGAATTTTACATGTACCCTTTTGGCATGCCTGCTTGTTTCTAGGCAATGCAGCTCTTCGCTGTCTGTGCCAGATTCTGTACTCTCAAACAATACAGTTATTATGCTGCATCTGCTAAAGTAAAAAGTTGGCATGATTTTCTAGTGCCTCAATGGTGTTGTCCTCATACTCTCTGTGTGACTGCATTTGTTGTGAAAGCAAACCTTGTTTCATGGTATCCAGAACTGTAGACTCTCACACCAACATCTCAGATGCGAAGGCCAACAGATATATGCAGAATCTGCAGAAATCACAGAGTCCTCACAGAATCGCAGAATGGCCTGGGTTGGAAGGGGCCTCAAGGATCATGAATCTCCAACCCTCCTTCCACAGTCAGGGCCACCAGTCTCCACATTTAATATTAGACCAGGCTGCTCAGGGCCCCATCCAATCTAGCCTTGAACATCTCCAAGGAAAATGCACCCTATCTGCCCTCTTAGCAATGCTGTCACCCTCATCAGTAGCAGACTGCTGATCTATAAGTACAGAAGACCAAAAGCCTTTTTGAGGTTACAGAACAAGAATAACAGTCTGACCACTGAATCTTCATGAGATCTTGAAAAACAAAGTATTGAGGGATGGTGTTCTTGACAAAAATTGCTGTGCAGTGCAACCACACTGAATAAGGAGAGCATTTCCTTTTAATCCCAAATTAGATAGTTTGTATATTCTTGAGTTATCTAGTTATTAGAAGCTTCTAAAGCGAGTCTGGCTTACGTTGGTTAATTTTTAATAAAATCCAGTGACAAACCCTGACTTTTGAAAATTGTCCTTAGTTGGTTTCTCCCTAGCTCCAAGAAAAAAAAAATCAATGAAGTGGGTGCTTATAATGTATGGTATTTTTTTCTGGTGGCAGTGACAGGACCTGAGAGAATTGGCCTGAAACTGTGACAGGGGAGGTTTGTAGCACTGAGGTTGCTGTAGTTTGAGGAGCATCTGGACAGTGCGCTCAGTCATGTGGTTTTGTCATTTGTTTTCTTGGGTGATCTTGGAGCCAGGAGTTGGACTTGGTGATTCTTATGGGTCTCCTCCAAATCAGGATATTCTATGATTCTGTGATTTTGAGAAGTATATTGGAAGAGAGTTGCTTAAATCTCAGCAGCATTTACCTCAGTTGCCCCAGACTATCAGTTTGTTGTTAATGAAATCTCGTGGTTGAATGTAAACACTCTAATTAGAAACCTAACTGTGTTCCTGCCAATCCCCTCAGGCTTGCTGTCATCCGGGAGCAAGTGGTTTTTGCTGTTCGGCAGGAGTACGTGCTTCTTGGAGATCAACTTCTGGTCCTGCAGACAGGAGACGAAGTTGCAATCATCCCACCAATTAGTGGAGGCTGAATCTGTGCAAGTTCTGAGAGGTAGGTATCACTTCTTGCTTCACGTCCTGTAGAGGATCATCCAATGTTAAAGTATCTGATGCATTCTGTACAATCTTTTTATAATATTTTTCTGGTAAGATTCTGAGATTTGGTATGCAGTTATCCCTATCTACATGTGGTACTCTTTGGAGAAAGCGTAACTTTTGTTTCCTGCAGGAGAGAATTGCAGTGCTGACCACAAACTATAAGCTGTTGCATGAATAAATGATTAGCACACACAAGTAAACGGAATAAAATTGGCAATGAAGTCAGGCACTGTTTTGTTTTGTTTTTGCTTTTAGGTCTTATTTTCTTTGGTAGTTTTTTTCTGATTGTCAGTAGATATCCAGCTTGCATAAGTAAGATTTTTAACTGAAAGGATGCCACTTTTTAACATAAAGGATGATACAGAAGAATTGTTTGCTAATTAAAAAAATACTTTGTTTTTTGCTGTCAAAGGGTCAAGTGTCTCTAGCACAGATTCGTGCTTTCCAGTGTAGCTTATTCTACTCCTGCTGCTCAGTCCACTTATATTCTTCCTCATCCTTAGATGAACTGGTAACTGGTGTATATACAAAGCATTTAGAAGTGGCACCAGTGTCATTGAAACAGCTGATAGGATGAAAACTTGCATGTCCTGGTTAGCATATTAAACTTTGAATTAAATGCAAGTTTAAACTGTGATTGATTATAGGATAAGACAGAAGGAATGGGCTGACAGGCTTACCAGAAATTTGCTAACATAGTGGTTTGTGCTAGTAGATTGTACTGTTGAACTGAACCTTGAACTAGTTCTTGTTTTGTCCTACCACACCAGACTTTCCTGCAAAGCAGGAGCCCATTTGCCTTAGAAAGAGATCTTCCCATGGTATTTGCACTTACTGTTCTCTCAGCAAGTCTGCTGAGAAGTGAATTTGCCATGAAGACTGGTCTCTTGGGGTGAGTAAGAAGATGGTACATGTTTTCTGAATAAATTGGGGCATCAGTATGGGATAAAAGGCAGTTGGCAAATGTTTGTACTGCCAAAAACAACTGCAGAATCTGTTTGGTTTTAGCCCTTCTAGGGAGCCATGGTTGAAAGAGAGGATGTGCCGAAAGATTTTATCAAGCTCAAGTCTGAAAAGCTGTCTGTAGATGAAGTGTCAGAACTGGTCATTTCACCATGCTGTGGGGCAGTGTCTCTTTTCATTGGTGAGTTTAAAGTTTTAGAGCGGGATCTCTGGATGTGTTAATAGTCTAATAAATGGAACCCAGCTTGTCCCACACCCCAAACTCGTGCTTCTCAAATAAATGCATTTCTGGACTGAACCCAGGACGTTTAGAAAACTCATTCTGAATTATTTAGAACAAGACCATGGCAACTCTTAAACAGTGCATTGAGACTGAGTGGTGAGAAGCTTCCCTGCTGGTGTGGCTGTTCTAGGACTGAATGGAGCAGCAGTGCTGGAGAGCAGTCCTGCTTATAAGTTACTCTGCTATTTCCCTGCACACAGTTTATTCAAGATGGAAAGTAGTGACTGCAATAAAACACAAGTACTGACCTGTGTGAAAACTGATGCAGTTCAGGTCTTGTTGAAGACAAAGTTTTGTTCTACCAGTGGGCCGGTGCAGTTTGAGTTTGCTGGCTCCACCCTGTTGTTTAAAATACGTGGTATAGATCTTCAAACTTTTTTTGCTTAAGCCTGAGTACCTGTGGGCTTTTAAGTACTAAGCACTTAAATAAATTAGCACAAAAGATGTTCCAGCTTTGAGCATTACAGACTGTGTATTTTCGTAATCTGTAGGCTTATTCCTTGTATATTGAAATTTCTTTTGTTTGAAGAATCTCTTCACATAGCCATAACTGGAGGAAGTCATTTATGTTTAGAGTGCTGTCCTTGGCCTCAGCAGGAGGTCCTGAGTTTTGCTCTGTTTTTTTTTTCTGTTGCTTTCCTTTTATAACTGCATTTTTGTTTAGGTACTACGAGAAATAATTTTGAAGGGAAAAAAGTGATTCGCTTAGAGTATGAAGCATATGCTTCAATGGCAGAGATGGAAATAAAGAAAATCTGCAGAGATGTTAGACAGAAGTGGCCATCAGTCAAACATATTGCAATGCATCATAGACTTGGGTATGTACGGATAGACCATTCTTCTTCAAATGGTATACTAATCTTTGAATGACGCTTGCATACTTGAAGGTTGTGCAGGAGTCTATAAAGCTGTAAAGCATCAAAGCTTGCTACTGGATCATGCTGTCAGTAAGGAACTAGGTTTCAGAAAGAAAGTCTTGTTTTTCAAAATATTTTTATTATAGTATTTGCCAGAATCCATATTAAGCTGTCAGAAACCTCAATCCTGCTGTTATGGTTTGAGAGTGGAGAAAAGAGATCTCCTTGCAGGAGAGAGCAGGCCATTATGTTTGTGAGGTTCTCTTCCACTGCTGCAAAGTGTCACTATTTTTTTTCCTGTCAGGTTTAAGTAATGGAACCTAAAATGTCAGAATATGAGGTTGAGAGAAAGGCATTGTAATTGCCAGTCATACTTGTAAAAATATCTCTTGTTATTCCTTGCATTGGATACACATTTTTTAATTGGATATAAACCATGGAATGGTTTAATATAGTCCTAAGCTTTCAATGTTCATCAGATTTTTGGCTGAAACTAGCAGGATTGGCATTGTGTGTTTCAAATATTTGTTTCCTTTTTTTTTTTTTTTTTTTTTCCCCCGCAGGAATAACTTAGAATGAGATCACAAAGGTTAATATTAACTCTGAGGGGTAGTTTCTTTGGATTTCTTCTACAGTCAACAGAGACAGGAATTAATTCTCTCTGAAGAGCAACTCAGAGTATTTGAACTTAGGTTTTTCTCTGAGCTGTTTGCCAATGCAGTCTTGCTAAGTAGAGAGGGTTGGAAGGCAGCTTTTGGGAGTACTACCCTTGTGAGGAGTAGTACAAAACCTTGTGCAACTTCTGTTAGCTTAGTAAAAATGACCCACCAAATAGAAAAAGAAACATACTTTGAAGTCAACATTTGGCAAAACTAAAGTTATGCTGCAAAATCTGTGTGCTTTGAGATACATAGTATCTTTTTTTCACATATCATCTCAGTTTGCATAAGAATTTCTGGTATTTTTAGTTAGCTTCCTGTTCCAGACCTGTTACTGTTCATTATTAAGCCCAACTTCTGGAGAGTTTCCTATGTTGCAAGATAGTAATTTTCATCTCTTAATTCCATGGACTTATTTTTAAAAAAGAAGAAAGAATAGGAAAAAAAAAACCTGTGACTGGTGGTTCTATTTATTTTAAAGCATGGAATTCCTGCATCTGATGTTGATTTTAGTTGTGGTTTTCTTTCTGTTTAAATGTGCATAATCTTTTGGACATGGCTTGACAGTTGCTTAGTGTGAATGAGTCAGGAGTGCATGTGACCAGAATACTGATGTGACATGGGTACAATCTTTGGGTGCTGTAGATGTTAAGCATTAGCTAAAACTTCTGTTGTTGTTCTCTCTCTAGCGTGGTTCCAGTAACAGAGGCAAGTGTAATTATTGCAATCTCGTCTCCACACAGAGCAGAGTCCCTTGAAGCTGTAACACATTGCATCAACAGTTTAAAAGCGTTTGTCCCAATATGGAAAAAGGTATGTTTGGGACAAATTTGGTTCTAGCCACTGCAAGGATCTTAGACAGCTGGACTGCTGCTGGCTCTTAGGGAAGGAGCTATAGTGTTATGGGCAGCAGTTGCTCCTGAAGAGATGCTTTTTTTTTTTTTTTTTTTTTTTTTTTTTTTTTTTTTTTTTTTACTTTAATGCAACCAGGCCTGAATGTGGCATTCAGGGACCAGGAAAACCCTCTCTTGCTTGTGCCTCCCAGCTACTCTTCTTCTTAATGCCTTTCTGGGGTAAGAGTGAAGGATTCTTGAGCTCATCTTTTCTGAGTAAAGTTCAGTTCTGCATATACTAGTGGAAGAACTTAGAATGTATTGTCTTGGATGGCATTGCAGTTTGCAAGTAGAAGTGGCATTTCTTTCTATTTTTCTCTCATCTCTATGGCTATGGATAGGCACAAAGCATTAAGAAGCAGGACACACACATATAGCACAGAGTGAAGGAGTATTCAGTGGTCTGAAAGCTCATTTAGAGACACAGTAATGTGTGTAGAGTGCAGCCTAAGTCTAGAAAGAGCCACATTGCATAACCACAGGATTACATGCAATTGGTGGACATTACCTCTGCCTTCTCTTACTTTCCAAACTTGGCATGTAGTAACAGTGGTTTCTTGAGTTGCTCAGTGTAGAACAGTATCTTCTGTATCACTTTTCTGACACCTACTTCAGGAGACTGAAGTTTTATGATTCCAGAAAGAATAATTGGGTTCACAACCCTGCTAAATTTGCTACTTGGGACTGAACTGCTGTTGGGTAGTCCAGTCTATCCTGAAGATGTAATGCTGTATTTTGAGTCTCGGTGTCATTTTTTTTTTTTTTTTTTTTTTTTAAACACATTTTCTAAACATTTAAACACTCTAATTCCTAAAAATGATGGTAGTATTTAGGACACAAGTGCTGTGTACTATACAGCTTCTGCATCCTTTCTTCTAGATCTCTTTCTTTAAGTGACTTCAATATGGATGAGGCCTTCTAAATGTAATGGGTTTAGCTCCAGGTTCAGCATGTGCCCACATGTAAGTCAGTGTTTTCTAAAGATGATCCCCCTTTTCTGTTTGCCAGCTAAGTGTAGTGTAGTCCTGATGTGGTCAGCAAATAATAGCAAGATGGCTGTTGAATTGTTTGGCCTGGCTTGTGCAGGCCAAACAACTGTGACTGTATGTAGTGGACTCCCACAATATTTCTCATTCTTTGTTTGTATTCACAGGAGATTTATGAGGACGAGTATTCTTGGAAGGAAAACAAGGAATGCTTTTGGACAAATTCAGAAAAATAACTGTATTCTTTTATAAATAAAGTGTTACTGCTCCTAATGAGTATTCTGTTCTAGCTTTGAGTTGTTCTTACATAGAATCTATGTGATCTTAAGCAATTGTAATAGGCATTTCAATCTGAATAATTTAATCAGGACTGTATGAAATTCATGAGCAGTAGTTAGGATTTTCTTAAAGTGTTAAGTGTTCTTAAATCCTTTGAAAACACGGAGTCAGTTTTTAAAACTATCTTTCCTAAAATTCATGGCTGCAAGACATTTAGTCCTCTGTGATATATACTGCTTTAGTTCTTCTGTGTTTGTAGTCTTTGCTGTTTTCATGAGAGGTCACAACAAGACAATTGGATACTAATACTCTGCCAGCAACAAACTTGCACTAGCAATAGCACATAAACTTGTATTCACCTAATGATGTCTAGACATGATTGATTTTGAAGGAGTTTTTTTGGATGTGTAATTTTGTGATTCTACAGGAAAAACATCCTCAAGAATAAGTTTAATTAGATTTAGAAGTTTGACCTTAGGCAGGTTAGGATGCAATGTCATCAGAATGGATTAGTTGTTCAAAGAAAAGTTAAATCCATTGCGTATGTACATTGCAAGGAATTCACAGCTTATATATGCCTTTAAATTCACATTTACATTTTTTAATAGTTTTTCACTTATGTTTTACAGTCTAAGAGAAAAGGACAGACATAGTATGCCTGTTCTTCCACTGTGGATAATAGGCTGCTTATCTGATTAGAATTGTTTTCTTTATATTATTCTGTACCGCAAAGCATGGTAGATGTTAAAAGTTCAAGGTGGCATTGTGTGTGATATTTTTACTAGTGGCAAATGGCAGATTTGTCTAATTGTTATCGATGTAGAGAAGAAAGGTATTCTAAGAAAAGGGGAATGCAGTTAAGTAAATTCATTTTTACTGAAGCTGGTATATCATTTCATAACACAATACTTAAGCCTCAGCTGTATGAATCTGTTTC